GCATACTGCTTCCATTTGAAGAACTCAAACACAGTAGCATAGGCATATTTAAACTCAGCATAGCTTGGAGAGGTTCTAAAGAATAGTGGGTATTTGTCGCGATCTGCCAGTGCAACACCTTCCACACTGTATCCCATGATGATCGTATTGTACATAGGTGCAACTTCAGCAATTATCTCAGTTTGAACTGAGCAGGCCGGGCCTAAGATGCCCACTATGGATTTATTGTGCACCTGTGACATAAACTCGATGAATGCATTGAGAATGAGAGCTGTTTTGCACTGTGTGTCCTCTATGATGAGCTCCAAGCTGTAATTATTGAGAATCTTGTAATCTTGGTTGATTTCCTCTAGAGCCATCAATGCTCCTACAGCAAAGAACATGATAATTAATTTCTAATTGACCATATGAAATTAATGACATGTGTGTAAGGTTAGCATGCCTTGTCCAAAGTAACCCGCAGTGCAGGCATTATCTTTTAATGCAATGCTCGATAGACCAAGTTTTCGATGGTGCCATCTTGGACTGTAATTGGATGCCTGACCGATACATGTTTGGGTTAGAGTAGGGGGAGAGGTTCATACTGATTTTTCTTGATTAATTTCATTTTTTATCATGATAATCATAATTAAGAACTAGTTTGTGATGTTGATTCAGGCCTCATTAAAGATCAATTTAGTTATCATTATGCACCGCTTGCAAAGTGGCCGCCAGTGCTGCCAGCTAGTTCTGGCTTATCTTTAATCATAACAAAACAAATTTTACCCTGCAGAATTCCAGGCCTGCTCCACACTGCATCCTCACTGACTGACAATGGAAACATCCCTCCAAGATAAACTGGCACCTTATTCAGACTCCCAGGAGGGAGCCATGACAACCAGATATCTCTAGTCTCGCGTACCCAGTCACAAGCAACTTCCTGGCTAGTCAAATTACCTCCACCATCCTTGTGTTTGTGAAAGAGTTCATTAAGTGTGTCTTTATCAAAGTGCATTTTTGACAGTAAGTAATACACATCAGGGGCATTGTCCTGAATTTTTCCCCAAGCAAATTTGCGCAAGTGGCTAGGGGGAAAATCACAGTTGTAATAATAATCCAGTTGAGATGTCATGGCTTTGATGAAGGACATAATGGCACTGAAAGAAATAATTGAAAAAGTCCTTTTATTAATAAAACCTTAAAATCAGCACTGTCTTAGGCATTGCACAAAGCTTGCTAGTTTTTTTTTGTTTTGTTTTGTTTTTTTTGTCTTGACTCCAGTGTCCACTTTCTTTTGGCTGCAACTGGCCAATTCCAATCTTTTCTGTTGCATGCATAGAGTGCTCATTTTTCATCGTCAAGCAATCAACCTTAATCTGAAACAACAGGAGGCCTTGACATTCTGGGCTCTTAAAGGATGAGATTTGCACAGCTTGTCCAAGGGTAATTTAATTTTGTGAGCTGAATGATTCACTTTTATAATCTCTAGATAGAACAACAGCATTCTCGTTGTTTATAATGGCCAGAAGACTTCCTTTAGAAACCATTTGAATTCAAGAGATGACACCACCCAAAAGACTGTACTTAGCTGGTGATATTTGATCTAAGAGTAGGGACAACATGCTGTGGGTTTATATACATGTACCAGTACATCTACATGAACAACATACACGTACATTCAGTGTGGGAAATTAGCAGTTGCATGCTCGCCAATGTGAGTGTGAAAAGCGTTGCACAAGTACAAATCATTGATCGCTCACCCCTTTGGCGAGTGCAATTTTCATTTTTGGGAAACAAGTTTGTAAGCTTAAATATTGATAACACTCCTTTTTATTTTCCATTATGGTATTAATTTCTCCTTCAAGAGACCCAAATAATTTGCCAATACAGAACATACTGTTTCAGTAATTCAAAATGAAATACGGCTTCCACCAGTGACAATTTACATAATGGTTACACATGTGTGAAGTGATTCTGCTGATCTCTATAATTTTTTGTCTCTAGTAATTAGTGCATGAGAATTGGAGATTTGCTTGCTAAGAAATGAATCTCACAAAGATTTATCTTGAAATAGCAACTACTTTCAATTGAAAGTTTTAGTACCTCAGTTGTAGTCATCTTTAGGTTTAAGGTCATTTAGTATAATTTTTCTTTGAAGGAAAAAAAGTCAGTATTTACTAGCCAACAAGTTGTTTCAAGCTCTAATGTCTCAATTCTAGTGATCTATGCAAATTCGGTGCCAGCTGTTCATTCAGCTGTTTTTCAGTTAAAACTATGGAAATGTGGGAAATTTTCCAAGATGTGTCAAAGAAAGATGATAAAAACATCGTAAACGGACCACAACAAAAC